ACCTTTTGAATCTAATTTAGTTGTATTTATGCGAAAGCTGTTTATTCACCTCAATTCATTGTTAACCATTTTCCTGGTGTTATTTTGCTGGTTTAAAGGCTAATTTAATGTTGTTTGGATTTGTATACATCAGTGGTGAAGAGTGATATCTTTTCCAATTGTGAAATTGCGACTAATTGATGTGGTCCAATTTGAAAAGATTATGCGGTTAATTTCGATATCTTGCACATAAAGAACAGCTCGAAGACAAGCAATTAAGGAGGTAAAAAGAGGGTGTCCGAATTTATACCTTCTCTGAGAGTTCAATTCCCACCTAATTTGGTAAGTTAGCGGAAATAAGAAAGCCCCTCTCCGCAGTGCAAGGAATTGTTGCACAAGATATCTCCCTTCTGGAAGGGTGATTCAGCTCAGATGGCCCCAATGGTAAGATATAACTGTGAGACGATGGGGAAGGCAATTTATTGGTTGGATGGAAAACCATTCGATGAGGCTTATGGCATGTGAAAGAGAAACCTCAAGCCTTCTTCGTACAATTACACACAACAAGCAACATCACTCCGCCCCAAAGCAACCTGATTGCCAATCTTCCTGATGAGAAATCCAATTATTGTCTTCATGGTTGAGTGGTTTGATTTGTAAAATTGTTTTTAATGCTCGCGCTGGAAGAGCTTAAATTCTCAGGCCAATCCCCGTCGCCCGGCCACCGGACGATGCCGTGTCCACAGCCACCCAAGGGCCCACCCATTGGGCGGGCGAATGCATGATTAATCCGCGTGGTTGTATCGATTTTTAATTATTCACAAATATTCCCCACACCGCCTTTCCCCGGTGGAAATCGGGCACACATCTCGGGGACAACATATCCACTGCGTCGTGTCCACTGTATTACATTGGTATCCAATGAAAATGGAGCTTTAAAAATTTATGCCTCTATATTTCAATTTTTTATTACTTATTCATCTATTAAATTTTTTTTTTCATTCAAGTCCCAGAGTTGACTTTTTTCACCAGCGCAACTCAGGGAAATATAAATGAGTTTTTGGGTATATATAGTGTGATGAGCATGGCAAAAACGTCCGAATGCTCATATTTTTGCCAGAGAAAGCACTATACATGGGGGATGAGTGATAGTGGAGGAAAAGCGAGCTATATATATACACTGGGCTCTGTATTTTCCGTACCGACAGGCCAAAGTGGGCCAATTTTAAATAATGCACTAAAAATTCCTCCATGAACCCGCGCACATTCAATTATTCATCAGAAAATTCAATTATTCAATTTACATGTGCTTCGAATGTGTTTGGAAATTAAAAATTATGTACAAATAAAAAGTGTAAACCACCAAGTCGCTGATCCGATTTCATTATATCGTATTATTTGGGTGTCCAAAAGCGGGTTTACTACAGAGATGATTAATGTATTTGAAGCATTAGTCCTGACAAATCACTGAATTAACCTATTTTCTACTTAGTCGTGGTCAAATATAATTAAAGTTTTTAGATTGCAGTTTATTATAAAGTGAACCCACTTTGAGTGGTGAGAATGAACATTATACTTGAGTCGATATTACACGAAAACCTCATAGTTTCCAAGATACTTGATCCGGCAAAAAGGGAGCGAGAAAAGTGAGAGTTTTTGTAACATAGTCACAGTGTTGGGCAATCTTGTAAGGATTCATTATAGTGTGTTGTGAAGTGATGAAAATTGGACACCCGCCCCTTCGCCAGAAAGGACGGGGTCAAGAAAATGAACACGCTCGAGCCCCGAACCTTCTTGGGTGATCATTTATCCCATTGTAACATTAAACCGGTATTAATTAAGCAATTAAGCTCCAAAATCCTCCGAATGAGGAGTCTCGCATTACTGGAATTGTGATATTTGGGAGAGCTATTTGGCGCTGTGGAAGTAATCCCATCGCCTGACGCACTGTTGATGACAGGATGCGGCAGTCACCTAAAACCGCATGCCATTATTGAACGTCTGTCACAATGATTTGCAATCTGCATAAATTTCTGCAAAATATATCCATTCGTGAGTCAACAGATCAAGCGCCATATATTTAATTTCTAGCCTTTTTCCCGCCTAAATTACCCTCAACCACGTATAAACATTTCAACTTTCGCCAACGCAGCACATGTGCCATTATTTCACACTCATGTTTCGCATAGGAGTGAAAATTCTATGCTCGATAATGATTTCTGCGCGTATTTTACTGCTGTAATTAAATGGTGTAATAAAAGTCCTCAATTAATTGCGGCCGGTATTTATTCACGGTGAAATGAAATACCGTGAAAGCGGCGTTTTATGTATGGGCTATTAAAGTGCTGTTTTTTGTCATGACGCTGAATATTTTATGACAGGAAAAATTCAATTATTGCCCCAGTTTGACAAATTTAATCATCCTGAGACTGATGCTCGATAACTTGAAGGTTGAATTTTACATATTCCTTATCAATAAACTTAATTAACAGTTTCTATTCGCCTCAACAAATTCTATACAAGATGATTTCTGGAATTTCCCACAACGGGAAAAGCGTATGAAATTGGAGTAAGTCTTGCAATAAATTTCATGCGATAAAAACAAAATTTCACGACGTGCCTTTTAATAACATTGACTTGGCAAAATCTGTTCTAAGAACCACAAATCTGCTTCAAATTGACTTTCCAGAAGAGTGTTAACGACTCCCGCAATTACTCGTCAGTCTACAATCCAATAGCTCTCTAAATATCTTCCTCCTTCGTCGTCTCTTGTCATCTGTCGCAGAGCACGCACGAGCATCGGATGCAGCGGAGGAAAAATTGTGGCACAATGTTCAGAGGGCTATAAATATAGTGTGGAAATGACCTCAAGTGCGATTAGTCAGCCCACAAATGGCGTCCACAGCAGTCATGTGAAAATTGAGCAGCGGAATTCGGGGGATATTTTGTAAATAATGTACATGTGAAAGTTCAAAGTGACGGCGCAAAAAATCATTAATCTCGCTTTGAGATTCATCAGCGGAGTGGGAAGATGGGTTCCGCCGCTGATATGGACTGTTTGCTTGTGTATTAATTATACCCCAGCAGCAGGGGAGTGCGGGATGTAGTTCGTCATGTTGTGAATACATATTAAATGTCGAATAGAAGGCATCATTTGTTGCTCGACGCGAGCACTTTATGAGGCAGCACTAGTCCGTTGTCTAGTGATTTATGCGTTTCACATTTCCACTAATCTGCCGAAATAGGAAGATTTGTTCATCGCAGTGCGTTTTTTCCCCTGTCCAACAGCGAAGGGGCGCAGCACCACCCCAAAACAGCACACCAAATTCACCCATTTTCTCGCTCATCCCCTCACATCTCTGGGGAACCGCTGCGCTCAGCAAAATGCCAAAACCATATTTCACTCCTGGAGCTCAGTTTCTCGCTTTTTTCCCCGCACAGCGCACCACCCCTTCCGCCTTATGTACTTTATTGCATTAGTTATAGAAACGTACAATAATTTTGTTAACTCTCTTTGTCTGCATGATGGAAAAGTAGGATATATGGGAGTTTTTTTCTCCTTCAATTTTTCAATTTCCAACCCCTCACTTCTCCATGTTCCAATATATGCTCAGAGAGATGTGCAGCAATATATCGATAAGTGTTACCATCTTGTTGCAGATGGGATTGCTCTGTCAGCTACTCTTGGGTATTGATATATCTCAATATCAAATGGCTATGCAAGCAGCCGGAATGATTCAATTCAATTGGATTTTCTCAATATCAAATTAAGAACTGTATCATTACGTGTCGATTTTCTTTTTGTCCAAATCTTCTTACTTGCGGAAAGTATAAAAATATATGAATTTTGCACTTCCTCCCGCCATTCAATTAGTGTGTCATCCTTGTTACCGGACAGGCAAGGAGTTGAATAATACAGCGACAGAAGCCTGTCTGAGACTCCTTGTAAGGGTGGCCTTTTCACCGGTCTGAGGAAAATCCTTGATTATTTGAGGAGGAGCGGAGAGAGAGTAGGTTAGGGATACATTGCCAGCATGGGGTAAGCCACAACTCAGCGAAAAACCATTATGGAGGCTCCTTTACGTGTTAACAGGCAACAATTGCTGACGGCAGGTAGACGGACCTTCGTCAATTCATCGCCTCTGTCCCCATGTCTTGTGAATTTATTTTGCCACTCTCCACTCTATCGATTTCCTCTCCGGCTTTGCATTTTCAAGACACTCTGTGTCCAATAGAGGTGGAGCGACTGGGCTGGCTGGTGTCTTTTTTGTGGCCTGGCGAAAAAGAAAGTGTAAAAGCGCTGTTTGGGCGGCAAGCACGATGTTCAAGGGGAAATCTGAATATTTTATAGGACGAAAAAAATATTATTACATTATATTATAACCCGTCAATCTTAGAATTGCCATCGGATGGCATCGTAAAGGAGGGAGAGAGCGTCATTTAATGTCATGTCATGCATGAAAATGTGTGCCACTAGGATTCTGCGGGATTTTATTTATTTATCTCACTCGTAAGAGTGTATTTTTCCATAAAGTCGCAGCTTTTCACTGATCATATCTATACCCATATTTTGCTTCTCCTACTTTCATGTGTGTTACTCTGTGTATTTGCTAAAAATAAAAACCAAAACCACTAATGCTATGGCGAAGTTGAGATAAAATGTTCAAAGAGTAATTTTATCGTTCACACATTCGCTAAACCTTTATACAACACCACTTGTGTAACGTCTGCTCTGAATTATTTCCATTTGAAAACCACTTCAATTAGTGGTATAACACGATTGCCTGCATTTTTAGATATGTATATGTGTATGTTTGTTTATATGAACGGCGCATCCCCAGAGACAATTTTGTCCGTATGGAGTTAAAAGCACTCGTGGAAATTGAACTAAAATTTTTCACTTTTCCTCTTCTCTCCAATTTAATATGACAAATGGGAGTCATCACAGCGGAGAAATGCATCTCCGGCATGATTGTGTGGCTCTTTGGAGTGGTGAAAAAGGAAAAACATGGAGTTCTTACCTGGAGCGAGAAGAAGCAGAAGAACGATGATGGGCCACATCTTTATTTGTCTCATATCCAAAATACTGCTGATTCGTCCCCCAGCACAGCAACTCACAGTCATTTATAATCCTCAATTTCTTTTTTCACTCAAACACTATCACGATTTCTCTACTCAGTTCCTGTGTGGAGAGCTTCTGTTCATTCTCTTGGCGACAATATTTCTTCATTTGCCAGTTTGTACGCCAAATTAGTTACTTTTTCATCAAGTCCCGCTGCTGGATCACCTTTATCAATTTACACCCCAGCTCTTATGCCTGCAAGGAGGGTTTTGTTTTCATTAGAAGCACTCAATGCACTTTGGCAGCATGAACGCGAGGGAGACGGTGAAATACATAGCATAACTAAAACATACTATTTGTGTGGTAAATAGAACCATGGCGAGAGCATTTTGCTAGAGCAACAGGATTTTTTCCCGATTTCATCCACGTGAAAATTGTCCATGGAATATCTCAATGTGGAAATTGAATCATTGTATTTCGTGATCCTTTTCCATCCACTCTCTAAACTACCAGTTTTTCCCTGTTTCCTCCTGAATCATTCTGCCACCCGACTTGACTCGGAGTGTGAAGAGTATTGAATGATGGTGAGAAATTGATTTCCACTGTTTTACAATATTTACATATATAGCGTGGCTTGGTGGAGAGCAAAAAGAACTCCATACAGGAGAGATATCTCTCTTTCTCGCGTGGGAACCGATGAAAAATTCACACAAAATCGATATTTGGGAGATTTTTTTGGCATATCCCGGAATTTTTCACGTGCAAAGTGTCGACAATGATGTTGTCACATTTCCGCCCACAGAGGCTTTGTGCTCCCCTTTTCTTGTCACTTCTCAGCATTCATAATACCTGAGAGACACGTGCGAAGATATTCGATTGTGATTTTGGGAAAAGGTCGACGGATTCTTTATATGCAGATCAGAAAGAGTGTGAGAGAGAGAGAGAGAATATTTGAGAATCTGATGTACATAAGAAGAGGCCCTAATCAGTTAGAAAAATCCATATCGCCACTGGCTATTCATAGCAACTTATGACCATAATGCCATTTGACAGAAATACCCCTCTCGCTCGCGCTGTTTTATTGCCATTCTACCCCCCCCTCGAAAAGCGCGCTCGAGCGCTCGCCACCCCCACTGGCGAAAGGTTAAACAAATCAAATTATGTATTAGAGTCCGTGTGACAGAGTGAAAGGGAATTTGTCCGGCCTGATCGGTGTGTGTATCGCATGCTTACCCTGTGGCTCCCCGGGCCGCCTCATCCATATTGTAATTCCACTGCGACATTTTGACCCAGAGATTAACTCGAGGGCGCCCGGGGGGGAGTGGAGCGCGTGGGTGTGGGTAAAAATTGGTGTGGAAAAGGCACCGGAACTTTGTGTAACTTGATTCTGCTTGAGAATGTCCCACCCCAGAAACTAACATACACTTATTCATAATACAGTAACACTTCTCCTTGTTACCGCTCGCCCCACAGGCCATTCTCTCCTCTTGTGTTTCTTCGCCCAAGTCTGAATAGTACAGAAGAAGTGATTAAAAGTTCAGCACAAGTTTGTGGGTGTCTGATTTGTGATATTTCAGTGTCGACGCTCTCGCTATGGTTGGTGAGAATTTTTCCTCTTTGCGCCCCTTCCAAATTCCCAGAGATTCATCCGGAAGTTTTCGCCCCACGGGGTGTACAAATTTCAAGGCAAGGGCCTCACTTACGAGTAATTTTATGGTTAATTGTGTTTGGGGGCTTCGCATTGGGGCATTTTCATGGTGTGTATTGTTCAATTATTGATCATACGCTTGAGAATTTCGTATAGTTTTTTATTATCTGATACAATTTCATAAAACACTACAATGTTTCAAGATAAAGTCGATAAAGCTGCAAATTTATACACTTGAGCACACCTCTTGATATCACGTTTAAAACTATGAAGGTGGAGAAGAGCGTCTACTGAGAAATAACCTGTCCAGCCGCTTAAATATACGGGTAAGAGATCGAACTTCTCGTATGATTTTCTTTTTGCCCCGCAAGTCTTTCTCCCCGGCGAATGTATCACGAGAGCAATACAAGATATCACCTATTGGAAATGAAGTTGTGCCATTGCCGAGGAAAATAGAGGTCTTTCTCGCCTCACTGAGCTTCACTTGAAAGTTACAACATCCTCTCACACCACATCCACGTCTATTTTGCGTCCATGCACGGAACGGGGGAGGGGAAACCACCCGTGAAAATAAATTCCTAGCTGGGGAAATTGACACTGTAGCATCGTAAATTGTTGTGAGAAACTTTCTTGTATATCTGGAAAAGCACAAAAGTGGTATATGGTGCAATGTTTAGCTGAAGAGATTTCTCTGTGTTGCATCTTCAAGGATGACTTGAGATGTTTCCAAGAAAATGTGTGGTGCGAGAGAGTCTCGTACAATTACACATCCAAAGTAAATTTGGAAAATTGAAGAGGATCTCATGCTGCCCACTTTTACACTCTGTGCCACACTTTTCACGAGAGTCAACACATTGAGAGCTTTGCTGGAGCTTTTCTCTTAGAGAAAATGTGCGGGAGTAATTAGTGGTGTGATTGTTGAAGATGAAGACGGGACGCTGCAAATGGTATCAAACACCCCCACGAGAGAGTATAAAATCACAGCGAGAAGAACTCTTCAGCATCTGCAATTGCACAAAGGCGAGTGACTTGTGGAATTGTTGGTTTATTTTCAAACTCGATGCACTTCGGGTGGCAACAATCGAAATAATCATCGTGGGTCATGTTTTATGCATTAAGTGACTGAGTATTCTTCCGCTCTGAGAAGCCCTTCGGTGGATGGGAAATCCAAAATTAGCATGTTTCAATTATTGCCTGAAGAAAAGGGGAAATGTGGCGCAGAAGGGCGAAAGCTCTCTCGAACTAGTGAAAGCATGTGAATAAATTTTACCCACTTATTTCACCTTTTTCTTCGTCATAAGGCAAAATTTCCATTATTTCGCTACATTTGTATGTGACTTGTGAGGTGAATTCTCGTGTATGTGGTTGAGGAAAACCGAGATGAAAATTTGAAATATTTTAATATAGCAACAAGAGACATTTCCACACAATTTTCAATGCACTGAGAAAAAATATTTGTTAGAAATTTATAGTATGGCAACAATTTTTTTTTAAATTGATTTGTACAATTCTGGTGATTTTTGATGTGGATTTAAAATGACATATTGGAAATTAAAACTTTGATAAGAAAAAGTCCTTGCAGAAAAGCTTCATAAGCTCAACTTATAAGCAATAATTCAGGATAGAAATTAACTTCTCGCCATCTCTTGTCGAAATCAATAATCTTCTAATTAAGCAAGAGCTGCAGTAAAGCGCGAAACATTAACGAAATTTCCTCGCAGTGTTAGATATTTCACTAGTCACTTGTGTTCTTCCCTGCTTCCCCGGAAAAGCTTGTGTGTGTGTGTGTGTGTGTGTCGCCCATGGGTGTGGAAACTATAATTAAATTAACAAGTACTACGGGGAAGGTACGAGTGAAAATGTAAAATGTGACAGAGAGACGGAAAATTAACAGAATGCCGAGATTTTTTGCCCCTCCACGCAAAGGTGTGAGCCCGAGGAGATTGTGGGTGACACTTGGGACGACAGAGACGAGCCAAATGGCTCCATGGTGGGTCACCAGAAGGCCGAACCACCTGCCGAGAGATAATTTCGTGACATTCACCTCACGGGAGATTCTTCCTGGAAACTCTAGCTGAAAATTGCTGATGATTAACGACAAACTTTCCGCACTGGGCGCACTTTTAGTTAAACATTGCAGATTTTTTTTTTAATATGAGTTTCAGATGAAAGTTTTGAAGTGTTTGCGCACTTTTCACTATAAGTCCAATAAGTTCAAAAATAACATGGATTATGCGGTGAAAATTCAGCGCTTCAGTGTTGTCCACACTCTCTTAAATTAAGAGTTGATATGACCGCTTCGGATTTGATATGATATTCGCTGGAAGTGATGCACTTTCGCGAGTCCTGATGATCTCGACGGTATAATCGCTGACACTTGACACGCAATGCGACTGTTGGAGGCTCTTGTGAAGATCTCTTTGCTACGCGATGTGGATCAGCGCACAATCACCGAAGTGAGGACTGGCACAAGACTGACATGGGCCTGAAGAAGTTGTGCTGTGAAAATCGTTGGACTTCTCCGCATTTGCTGTCTCTCGTGCTCGGCTTCTCCGACTCACGGCGGGGAAGGCATGAATATTTCATGAGGAGCGCTCTGTCGTGCTATATCCGACCTCTTTTCGCCGCCACGCTCTGACCCGCTCTCAAGAATGGGACGGAGCATAAGAGAGGTTAAAGGTGATGCGCATGCGCCGCTCAGTTGCTCCAGTTTTTCAGGCGAAAATGCTCTTTTGGTTCCACGCTTCCCCGCTTCTCTGCCTTCCCCAATCGTTCGCTGTATGGCTTCATTTCCTCGGCCAAGGCAATCCCCTGAGGAGTAGGTCCACACTAGGAGCGCCCGCGAGTCATCCCAGCACTACTCGTGGCCAAAAATTATGCATCGCACCATTTTTCCCGAAATTCCACACAGTTTTGTTTCAATTAGATGTTCCATAATACTCAACTATTTGTCTAATGCAGCGACTTCTGGTCGAATGCCATGAATTTAAGTCACTAAAACCATTCGGATTAAGAGAACGAACGAAATGTCTGTAGAATACTATGAAATGTTTCCTAAAAGCTTTTCAGTGAACATTGAATCGAAAATATTTTCTCATATGCTGAGAATAATTCAAAGTGGATTAAGTTAAAACACTTTTCCTGGAATTGCAGCTGTGAAAGAGCTGACAAATACAAATGCACTCCGTCACATATTGTCTTAATGAATGCAAAATGCCAGACGCTGACGGAGGATTTGCAAAAATATCCACTGGCAAATGCATTAACCGGCGCTTCAAAATGATTCTGATTTAAATTTAAATAGAGCGTGGTGACTCTTTTTGTCCATTATGCACAACAGGAGACATTTTGTGTGAGACATTATATGGACAATATGCTGCAATTTTACCGCCAAGTCGCAGAGGGGAAAAACAAGACTGCAAGAAGTTTTTAATAGGGATGAATTAAAGGCGACTTAACACTTCAAGCAAAAGGGAAACTTAAAATGTTTTGAACAGCAATTGAACATTCCATTGAAATTATATCTGCATATTTATGTAGGAGAATTTTTATTTTATTCCTTTAATATTTTTGCCATATAAATTTCTGACGAAGAAATTACATAAGATTTTAATTGAATTTCTCAATTTTCACCTGCTCTGATGATGAAAGATATAAAAATTTTATCATCTCCAAATCTAATGGAAACATTAATTTTTCAAACATACGTCTAGACACCGCTATTCAACCCAGTAACATCAACAAATTAGTGTGGGCGAGATTTCATTTTACGATTCGCCACATGGAAAATTTCTCATTAAGAGGAGGGTCAACTGCTGTAATATAGCGGCCAATTCCTTTTTGAGAACCACGTAATTTCTGCAATAAATATCAATTACAATAATTGCCAAAGGAGAGAGTCAATGTACCCCAATTCGGTGATTTACAGCGAGAGTTGGGGCTCAATGAGAATTTATTGAGTGATGTTGCGGCGGGTGGAAAATTGCACGTTCGGTGCTGCAGGAGGAGAAAATAATTAAAAAGTGCTGGTGTTATCATGGAAAATGTCACATTGTGAGACCGTCCAAAAGGATTCTCGCGTGTTCGCGCCTTATCTCTGCGTCTTTTAGCCTCATTTGCAGAATTATGTCGAGGAATTCCTATATTAGCTGAGGGGGGAAACATGCCGAAGGTGCAGATGACAGAGACGGCGGATGAGTCAAAAGTATGTGCCATAATTGACATTCAGTTATTCGCAATTAATCCCCTTCGCGATAGTAGTTCGAGGCATTAGATTAATTCCACGGTGCAATTCTTCGTTCCTCGCCTTGTGCCTTGGCGACATCGCAAGGGGCGCTCAAGTATCTCAGGGTAGTTTTCGATTTCACTCTATTAATTAAAATAAATTTGCTCTGCAAATGTAGATAATTGAGAAGAGAAGGGAGTTACAACACGGTACCAATTTCTGCGGTGCTATTTTCCTAATTATCAATAATAGTTCGCCGATCTTTGCATGACGCACCCTTTGCAAGGCGCCCTGATGGTGTAAAATGATGAGGAATTGCAAAGGGTGTGAGATACAAATAAGACAAGAAATAGGTGGTGCAGAGTCTCATTATTTCTTTGGGTGGTGGTGCATGAGACGGGAACGAGGACGAGATGACAGACTGTGGTGTGCGGATGGCGCAAAAGCTTCATTGAAAGTTGTACAGCGACGGATTTTGCCTCGATGGTGCCCGGCCAGCTGATGCTTTTCGCTGCCAATGGGTTGGGGAGCACTAAATTTCTCACTGCATGCTCGTACAGACTCTTGCTCTGGCAATGAATTAGAATTTTCCTGTCTTCCGCCGAGCCCTTTTGTGTGCTGAAACGTCCACCCACCCCCAAAGCCCGCCCCAGGATTCCAACACACAAAACATTAAGTGAAATTGCACTATTACTGTGAATTATTATTTTATATTTCATGCGGTGGTGATTGAAATTTTCATCCATTCTCCCTCAACCCCTGATTTATGTGTCACTGCCATCGCCCGGGCCGCACTTGACCGAGAAATAAATCTCCGGAGGTGCCCGTAAGCCGATCGTAAAAGAGATGCCAATAAAATTGGTAATTTGCTCTAGTCTTGCCGCAATGCTCATTGGACAAGTGACATTCGGTGACTTTGGTGTTCTGTCACTTCCCCAGCGCGAATGCCTTGAGATTGCACTCATCCGGAGACGGAGACATAATTTAATTGTCTCACTTTTGCCTTATCGCCCAGTTGAAGAATCATCTTTTACGACATACTCGGATACTCCGTGGGCTTTATGGCACACCCACCCAGAAAAAAATGTAATCATCAAATGATACTTTAACAATCTCTTCGGGGTGACACTGCTGCTGCTGCTCACGGTTTTACTGTCTTGTCGACAGACACAATAAAGAATTGAAATTTGCCCAAAGAAGAGGTGAAATGGCACATCTGCCGTGGGGAAAACTTCGATTATAGGCGTTTTTGAAAGGATTATTTCCCTAATAGTGAGAGGCTCTTTCATTTTAGATGCAATAGAAAATTTACTAGATTACTTTTTTCCCTCTATCTTGCTCCTTCTCTGTCTGAGGAAATTTTGCAGAAACCCCTCGATTTCAGCAACCACGCATAAAAAATGTAGCAAGCTATCGATCACGGTGATTGTGAGAAAGTTTGCCCCATCTCTAGCCACCATCCATCGTTTTCAGTGCTGCAGCGACACTTTGAAAATTATATTTTGCTAAATTATCCATAACCACGAGGGATGAATGGTGGGGCGGAATTTCAAGCGATGGGTGAAAAGTTCTGAAAAGACGCTCTCCAACTCTGGGAGAAATTAATTTCTGATGATGGCAATAAGTGACTTTTTACTGAGGGTGGAGCTGAATGGTGAAATTCCTCTCTTGTTTGTCCTCAGCACATGAGAAAGCTTATCAATTCCGTGTCTGCGCTTTCCCATTTCCATCGACATTTCCCGCACCACGCGCTTGTTCCTAACGAAGCCGCATTGCAATTTTGGAGTTTTGTGCAAATTCGATGAAATTTGCCAAGGAGAGCAACGCTCATGATGTCGCGGAATGGCTTGTTCTGAGCATGTTGCCAAGCATGTTGCATATGGATGATGGAGAGGAGAAAATATCCTCACTGCCGCTTATCTTTGCAGGTGTTTTCGAGACGTGCAACGGATGCCATGCCAGGACGATGCATTTGTGAGTGTTAACTTATTTCTACACCTCGCAAAGCGCGGAAAGCTCTCTCTGTCTCTCTGGCAGATTTTCCCAATGTTAGGGGTTTCAATATGGAACTTCCCATGACTGCGAATGCTTCTTGTTCGCCGAGAGCGTAGTTTCGTCATAAAACGCTTTCAGCTATTTTGATTGTTGCAAAGTTGCTCATAACTGTTATTGTGTATTCGTCGAATTGTGTGCTGGAACAAATAAAGGCAGCCAAGATGCTCAACTTACATATTTGCAGAGCAAAGAAAATGTATATATGTGAATAGGTAGTTCGAGATTCGCACAAGTGAGGAGAGTTTGCATAGAAATTTCCTCCAAATTCTTGAAATTATGTTAGGTATATAATATGGAAAAACTGAGCTGAAGAGTGTATTTTGCTGGCATTTAAAAGGCCACATCTTGTTAAGTTTCACAAAATTCTTGTTTAACAACCTGTGACATTTTAATCAAATATATTTCTTTTTCTTTTCAACAGAATACCTGCGTTCATATTTTTCTCATAAATGCCAATTATACTGTTTTCTGTGTTTCAGAGTGCGCAGAACTTCTTTGTCCTGTAATGCTCCTGTAATGTAGGGACAGTGAAGCCCTGTGCTAATGCATGGGTTAAATAGGAATTTATTGCAAATTCTGATGGCCTCGAAGTAGCTGAGAAAGGCGTGGAATTATCAAGATAATGCGAGTGTAGCGCGTGCAAAATGGGTTTATAAATAATGTCAATAAATTATGAAATGTTGCCATGTAAAGTGATACATTATTCACATTTAATTATTAATGTTTGTGCCTTTTGAGTCACTTGCTTTTCGGGGTGACAACAGCTTTTCATTTTATTAACTGTGTGGCTATTCGTTGTATTGTAATTTATTGCTTTTACATTCACGTGCATTCATTCATTTTCGGGCGAAGAGAGAGTGTGTCTGGCTTGGTACAATGGCCACATTAAATGGTTCATTGTGCAATCACCTGAATGCGCCTCACCACCCACTCTGCAGCTTCTACCGCTGTTCTCTGCACCTGCGAGCAGATGAGTGTGTATGTGTATGTCTGCGGAGGAAGACTGTGGCAGATACTCACAAATGTGTTGGGCGGGCATGGGAGTAATTAAACTCCATCCGCTTAATATCCTCAATAAATTTTACAACCGGCTTCCGCACACGAAAACTTTTATAGCTGCATATCACTTCAACCCCTCCAGTCGCCCCTTTCGCCGCCGCCATGTCCTCTGTAGCACAAAATATT